CCGAGCACTGTCTCTGTAAAATATCAACAGGACTTCCGGAATAATGGATACCCAAAAATAACTCCTCCCACTTCACCAGTGCATTAATGAGTACCTTGTGAGTACTCCTTCCAACAACTTGACCATATTTAGTTTCACTGTCATGCTGACATTAAGAGTTAAACCCCTACAAAAGAAGCAGGGGGTCAGCAAGCAGAAATCTCTTTAATTCAGTTTCACAGTTTTAAAAAGGCACACTTCTTTCTGTGCTGAATTTTCACTCACAGTTGAATATAGCTGCATGTGCATCTGTCTTTAGTATTACTGCAAACAGTCTTTAATTAAGCTTAAAGGAGCTTGCAGACAACTTATTAGTATGTCAAGCAGGCTTCCATGATGACATTCATCATTTGATGGAGCTCCAGATCTTAATGAGCATCATTCTTTAACATCAAACCCTTCGGAGTCATTTTATTGAGGACTGTGGCTCAGAGCTGGAGGAAAATGGTAGCTACAGTAAAGAAGCATGAACACAAATGAAATCCATCTGAAACTGTGGTCAAACACTTCAGATGGACAGAAACACAGAGGGAGGTTTGCAGAGTGTGTTGGACTGTGTGTTTAAAGGTTAATGATTGACTGAAGAGGAAGTGAAACTAGCTGAACACACCTCCATTTGACAAACAGCCACAGGACAAAGGTATGTTTGTGTGTTTTGCAGAGTCAGCACACACTACTTGAACTCACTGTGAATGAGTGAATACAAATGGCAGAAAGCTATAGTGTCTAACCATAACTTAAGATACTGATCATTAACCCAGCAGTATTAAGGGTGTCATCTCAATATTTCCTGCAGCATTTCACAGTAAAAGCTTCGCACTACTGTTTACATTGTGCATTTTGTTCATAAACAAAATAAATATATCATAAATTTCTCATGTGAACTGCACCTGTGAGTTGTGATAAACAAATCTCAGGTTCATGTGAGCAGTGACACCAATGGTTGCTGATCTACTCAAGATGACCTTAGAGTACAAAAGTTTTTGTTAGTATAATGTCTCACTAGTGTGCTAGTCAAACTAGTCAAAGCATTAGCAAAGCGTTGAGACTCAAATGGTGACAGCGGGGAAAGTCCAGCTCAGTCCAGCCAGCGGTGTCATTTATTAAGTATGTATTATTAACTGGTACCATACTGTTTTCCATCATAAAAGCTTGATGAAAAGGGATTTTACTCAGCTGTCTTTGTTTTATTTATTGTTTTTTAATCACTATAGCAGAGTGTCTCTGGCAGTGTTGGTCAGTTTAACAGTTTGGTCTCGGCTGATATATCTTGATGAATACTGGATGGATTGCCAAGAAATTTAGTTCAGACATTTATGCTCTCCTCAAGATGAATTTTTTTTTTAATCAATTTTGCTGAACCCCTGACTTTTTATCTGGCGCCATCAAAAGGTCAACATTTCACTCTTAATCCTTGGACTCAAGCACCCACTTAGCCCTTACCCTTCTGTTTTGTGTGTTCACATCTAGGGGCAGGGTGTCTTGATTCTTGTTGGGATTGGGGCGGGAGGCAAAGTGTCAAGGACAGGTGGCCCTCCAGACTGAAATTTTTCAGTCACCCTCCAAACAGGGCGTTATGTGAAAACATTGGCAAGATGGCTACACAAGCAACAAGAGAAACCCACAAATGTATTTTCTTTGTTAATTAAGATTTTAACATTACTGTTCAGTTCAGTTTGGTATGCATTTTTTCCACTTCCACCGTGAAAAGTAATGGATAACTTAATTCACTGGGCCGACTGCCGTCAACTTTTAAGGTGTAATGTTTACTTGTAATGTTACTCAACGCATGAGTTGACGACATGAATCCATCAACATCCATCAATATGACAACTTTGACCATTCCATTAGTGTTTATTGTCTTTCTTGGATGACACAGACTTTTAGTAAAGAGTGGATCTTCAAGCATTTAAAAATATGTATTAATTTAAACAAGATTATGTGAACTGCATATATTCTAATCCTCTCTTGGAGAAAAAAGTGTTGTGGAGCATCATTCCTGTGGGCTACAGCAACACCAAGATGAGATCCATGAGAGCTGGACGGAGCAGTGAGTGACAACAACCCCGCCCACATTAAATAGTATAGTTTGTGGTAGAAACGCTTAACGGACCTAGGGTCTAGGTATCATGTTTGAAGGGTTACTGTTAGTTTCAAAGGTACAATACTGAAAGTGTGTGGTGGAAACAGGGCTTTACTGTACCTCCAGAGCACCACCAGTTGACTGGTAATGAAGCAGTGTTCTTTTTATTTAAAGATTTGTTTGATGAACTGATCATAATAAGTCATTAGTAGCATTTGTGTCTGCCAATGATACACAGTAATATCTTTCCTTTGACACCAACAATACCAGTCAATTAAACAACCTCCACATGCGCACTGCAGATATCAACAATTGGATGGCGTCAAACTAAGAAAAATCTGAAATTGTTGCCACAGCTCCAAACTCATCACAAAATTATATTTCTTCCCATCTTGGTCCCCTCTCATCTGACATTACTAACTCTTGCAGAAATCTCAATATTATCTTGGACTCTATCCTCAACTTTGACCAGCAATGCCAATATCAAAAACAGTAAATTCTGCATTAATTTCATCCTGGTTAGATTACTGTAATGCACTCTTCTCATGTCTCACACATCAAAATAATTAAACTCAATAAACTTAAGCTGATTTAAACCGCACCAGCCAGACTCACAACTAGGTCAAAAAGCGGGAAAGAAATCACACTGGTTTTAGAATCACCTCATTGACTGCCTGTCTAAAGTGGACTTCAAAATTATAAGGATAACTTTTAAGGCTTGTAGCGGGTTAGCTCCAGCTTATATATAGCCAACCTTCTGACCTCCCATGAGCCTGAATGCAACCTGCGATCATCTGGTAGGTCATTCCTGGTCATTCCATAATTAAACCTTAAAACTAAAGGTCATCGGGCCTTCTCTGTTCTGGCCCCTCAGTTGTAGAATGACCTGTCAGAAGAGATCAGGAATGCTAACTCATTATTTTAGTTGTTTTTAAGTTTGTTTTATTATCTGTTGTATTTATTGCATTATTTTATTAACTGACTTTATTGTCTTTTTAATTGTACGTAAAGCACTTTGTAACTTGTTTTGAAAAGCTCTTTTTAAATAAAGGCATTGTTATTATCATCATTATTAGTAGCAGTATGATCAGTATTGTGATCTGGGAGTAACCAGAATGAGAAAACTGGCTATGTGTGCTAGAAAAGGACAAGTGAACACCAGCGAAAACAGTAATAGGTCCGATAAACTTGCCCACTTCTGACTACAAACCTAGTAGAGGGTTTGACAGCTCAGGGACATGAAGCCCAACAGTAGCAAAGCAGACACGATGCATACTGTTGAGCTGACATGCAAACAAAGACGCCTGTCATCCCACAATGAATAAACATGTCTTGATATAAAAGACTCACAGAATCATAAGGGAGTTTTTCCAGGACATCAGTTCATCTGGTAAAGTTATAAGTAGCTGCTAAATGGTGGGTGTGTTTGCTTCATGGCACTAAGAAAAGAAATGCAGTGACTCAACAAACCATCTAGTCAATAAAACAATCAGCCCATCCTCCGCTGAAGATAAAGGCTGATAAAACCCAGCAGCAGCAGAGCCATCAGCCTGTGGAGAGCTTGTGAGAACATACAGGAATGTTTGAGCTTGGCATCTGAGGGGTCAATACGGTGGCCACAGGGGGACGGCATGCTTTAATCTGTTCACTGGCCACTGCTTACTGAATGAATGGTGGGTTGGGGGGTTGGTTTGATACGCTTCACTTCCAGTCCTGGGTGGTCAGGTCAGTTGTTTGGCTCTCTACAGCCCAAAGACCTCTGGGAAAATTTCAGGATGTAAAATGAATGCCAAGAGAACACTTGGTTCAGATTCTTAAAACACAACCAAACGTTGTGAATTTTCCCCTCACTAATTCTCCACTACACAGAAGAACACGCATCATGTTTATAGTTGCTTTGGGCTGAATACATGAACCGGGTGTTTGGGGTAAACCGTGAAAGGCAGCACAGCTTCAAGACAAAGCAAAGAGCTCCATCTGCAGAATCTCAACCTCTAATACACCAAACATGTTAAATCTCAGGGAGTAAAGCAAAACAAAAAACATCAATATGCACTTAGCACAACAGGTTACGTGGAGAAGTAAAATACTCTAGAGCAGTGAGGCTCAGTAAGAAAGATCCCCTACATTTGCAAATTAACACTGTTACTTGACACTGTTAGCCGAGGAAGCTGCATTAAGAGAAAAAGTAGCAGTAGTATCAGGGGTGTGACAGTTCACAAAAATCCATGGTTCGGTTTGTTTTGGAGAGGTGAGGACCCTTGTGGATAATTCAGCTTCTGGTGAAAACCTCCTGACCGTTTGGATCTGGTTTGTAACATGAAACTGCTTTATTCAGTGTTTTTGGCACTTTCAATCACCTGGTCTGTTTGTTTTGAAGAGGAGGAGACCTCTGTGAATAATCTAGCTCCTGAAAAAACCTGAATAATAAACACAGAAGGAATTCTAGCCGGTGAAGTTTTGGCTGGTTGCAATCTGCAATACACTGCTAGGTGCCACGAAATCCCACTATATATTACACACTTCACCTTTAACACATTACCTCATGCAGGAAATGTTCCTGAACATTCCAGTGATAGACTGCATGTATAAAAGGGGCCTACACATCATTGTAAACTGCATATCTTTGGCTTTTAGACTGTCAGTTGGACATAAGACATTTGAAGACGTAATCATGGGCTCTGGGAAGTTATGAAGGGCATTTTCTCTATTTTCTGACAAAAAATGATTTACCAATTTAAAAAACAAATAAATCTATAATGAATATAATGGTGAAATGCAGCCCTATCTGATACTCACGTGGACTCTATCATGGCATAATGCTGCTGTGCAGTTATGTTGACTAATATTTATGAAATCCTAAATAGTTTGGAGTTACCTTTTGCACCTTTGCTGTGATGGCCGGCTCCTCTTGTTTGACTTGGAGTTTCTGCAGAGATATTAAATATTTGAATCAATTGACAATGTTGACAGTGTTCAAAACCTTAGCAACAGTTACATATACTAACCTTGTGGACTGGATCATCATACTAAATTCAAACCACACTGGAGCATTCTTACTGACAACTGACTCATGCTGGACCACACTGTTAAACTGACAGGTGACATGCTGCTCAGCCCAGTGTGCTCTCAAAAATCACATGAGATTGTGAATACATTTGTTTTCATTGTTCCACATCTGGAGGATAGGATTAGCAATTAGTGCAATTAATATCCAGTATACAGTAATTCTACTGAGCAGCAGCAACCTTACAGATTTATTACAGGTAATCTTAACTGTCACTGTGTAGTGATCTAAATGATGTTACACTACCACCTTGTGGTGAGAAAACAACAGTGCACTTAAAGGGCGGAATCCCACAAAAGCACATCACAGTGAGGTCATGAGTTAATACAGGATCCTGGCATACAATAGCAATTATACTACAATGACATCTGTGCTCCAGATTTAAGATTTTATTTTGTATCAGTGAATGAATGAATGCATAATTACCCACTAGTCTATAGTTAATAAAGGCAAATGTAATCAAATGCACAAATTGTAAAGAACTTGTTTTACATTTATAAAAAAACATCATATAATCACAATGTCAGCACGGTGGCAGCTTGACTAAGTGGGAGATGTGGCACTATTTGTCTGTAAACCCCAGGGAGTTTGGGACTAAGTATAAAGAAAGTACAGGGAACTTAAGCCGTGTTTCCAGCAAGCAGTCCGGTTCAGTTCAGTTCAGTATGTATTTTTTCCATTTCCATGATGAAAAGCTGTGTATAGAGCCAACGGCACTGTTCCTTACCATCCCCATTTTTGGTCAACCCTCTATTGGGGTACCTAGCACACAGATCTGGTACTAAAAGGTGGCGTTAGAAACACCACAGTCTGTTGATTGGTCAATAGAGGACAGTCATTTTTCCTTAGGGCTGAGTTGAGGCAATACATCAGCACAACTGAAAATTCCCTTTGATACCTTTGACCATTCCATTAGTTTTTATTGTCTTTCTTGGATGACTTAGACTTTTAGTAATGAGTGGATCTTCAAGCATTAAAAAATATATATTAATTTCGACCACATAATGTGAATTGCAGTATTCAGCTCTCGTCTCACCTTGGCGCTGGCCCTGACCCTGACGTCTCCCACATCCTTCAGTTTGGACTTGTAGAGCATCCAGCGGTAGCGAAGTTCCTCCAAATCCACATCTTCTGCTGGTCCAGAACCAGCCTCACTGCCCTGACTCTCCTGGAGCAGCAACAGCTGGAACTGCTCCTGACCCCAGGTCAGTCTTGCCCTTAGAGCCTGCAGCAGGACACACCACAGAGGATAAGGTATATTGTCTGAATGCAAAGCAGCAGAAAGTGCAACAGAACGTAAACTTTCAGTGTAAAAGTCCGTTCAGCTCCATGGTAAATTACTCACAGGTCTGCATCATGAGGCTAAACTGTACATTAGTTTACTGAAAGTTCATATTTGGAATATTGACAGATCACATCAGGATAACTTTTTTCCCAAGCATAAAATAACAATAACATGCTGCTGTATCTTCTAAATTCTTAAGAATTAAAACCTGAAGCGTGTCCTGTCGGATCTTGAGTTGTTTGGCGCTGAGTGATGCTCCCTTCATGCTGAGGATCCCTGAGAGGAGTTCATTCTCTTTGGACAGCCAGGCCTCAAACTCCCTCCTCCTGGATCTGGACTGTCCCGTGCCCCCCTACAAAACCCCAAAACAGTCATTTTGTACCCTTTTTCAGTTAGAGGTAGGGATGCCTGACTCATCTACGGGCTGTTAAAAAATCCATCAGTGAATTTGGTCAAAGCACTAATCTGTCAGCAGTTTTCTGTGCTTCTTTGTTTTTCCATTAGCATTTCATATCAACAACAATTGTTCTGCCAGACAAGTGCAAAATGGTAACAAAGGTAATGATAGTCATTCAGAGCTTACCAATATTCTACATCTAAAACTGGAAAGATGACAGAATAATCATCTCAACAGCTGCATCTATCATTGTTTCTTTTTCACTCATTCTACCCTCATTAACACTGGGGAAGAGGTGAGCTATACCTCACTACTAATCTTTCCACTCTCTTTTCATTGATTGACACCTTTGCAACTGCTTATAGGCAAATAGCTAACCAGCCAATCACTTGGCAGCAACTCAATGCATTTAAGCATGTAGACATGGCCAAGACGACCTGCTGAAGTTCAAACCGAGCATCATAATGGAGAAGAAAGGTGATTCAAGTGACTTTAAACTTGGCATGGTTGTTGGTGTCAGACCCGCAGGTTTGAGTATTTCAGAAACTGCTGATCTACTGGCACTTTGAGCCCCTTAGTACCAACTGAGCATTGTTTAAATGCCACAGCCTACCTGAGTATTGTTGCTGACCATGTAAGTCCCTTAACAACCACAGTGTACCCATCTTCTGATGGCTACTTCCAGCAGGATAACACGCCATGTCACAAAGCTCAAATCATCTAGAACTGAGTTCTGAGAGTTCTGCCCACTTGACATGCTGCTGTGTTGTGCTATGGCCTATTGCCCAGGGCGCCATTTAGGCTAGAACCACCACTGCAGCAAACAGACAGTATTGCCTCATCCCAGGTCCATATTTTTCTTTTTTCTCGCTGTAGAACTGCACAGAGTAACAATGCCTTTCCTTTTTCTGCACAGTGTTAGCTATACAGAAAGGTATCGGTGATTCAGCCTTGACAGGCAGCCAGGACTTTTATGTAACATTAAATTTACTTTTTATCCCCATTGTCAGTTTTATGTGACTGTCTGTTGTATTGTTCCCATATCTGACATAGGAAAGAAAATCCTTCCTGTTGAATTATCAGTACAAATAATGAACAACTGTGCTGGAAAATTCTGACTTTAGGAGAGAAGCTGACAAGGCTGAGAGCAAGGATGTAATAACTCATTATATACTTTCTGCAGCTTCGATCAGTTCACTGGATCAGTTTGGGATTTATTCAGTAACTCAGTTATGATGAGGTGTATTGCAACAGCCTGTAATACCCGGGGGGATTTAAGTATTCCATACTGCAGTAAAAGGGTAGTTCGAATATTTGAAGTGGGACTGTATGAGGTACTTATCCATAGTCAATTAGTCATCATTCTCTTCACAGCAGACTCCATTAAGAAAAACATTGACTTAGCATCGCTACACAGGAGTTTTTCTTATTGTGTGACTTTGGCATTTTAAAGGGTTTGCCCGGAGTCACACAATAACTCAAACTACCTAACTGAGGCAGCAGTAGACCAGCAGTTCTTGTGTTTAGTAAACCAAAATTACTGTTTTTGTCAGTGGAGTCTGGTGGCTGTGACAAGAGCATAGGTGGGGAACTGAAGCTGTTAACAGTTTCCCAGTCGAACATGGACAGTTTGACAAAAAGGTAAATACTCTCAATATAGCATACACTTCAATTGTTACTGATATTTTTACGTGCAGTTTCTTTAGGCTATCTGCTGCCCACATCTCCAGTAATACATACACCCCTTTTCTACCAAAACTAGTGTGTGTACATGGGTCTTTTAAACACAGGTAAACCCACTAAAAATAAGTCACAGACTCCATTACCATGGCCAGTAGACCAGAGCTGTGTACACAGCTCTGCAGCAGATGAGTATGCTTTTCTGTGTGTGTGTGTGTGTGTGTGTGTGTGTGTGTGTGTGTGTGTGTGTGTGTGTTTTTCCTGGTGTGTCTTGTTCAACATCACAGACAGGTCAGAAAACGGGTTAGTAAGCAGTAAAAAGCAACATGGAGGCCAGTCAACACGTTACAGTGGTTATTTCACTTTATATATCTCATACTTATTCAGTCTCTTTTTCAGACTCAGTTCAGACTAATTTGGATTGATGTTCGAGCAGTGCTTGGTCTGAGATGGACGATATTTTGTGATGGCACGTCATTGCATCTTGCTGGTAAAGGGGGTAAAATTAGCATGTTCACCCGGGTGTTGCATTTCCATCAATGCCGACCAGAGCCCGGGCTAATAAATACCCACGACTACAGCAGAATCATTTGACCCAGGCAACCTTTCCCACTACATTAAAATGCCAGATGTTTTCTTTGTGCAGTTGAACTATAGTCGAACTCCTGCTGCTTCTCTAAACCAGGGGTGTGCCAACAGATGTCTATTGTATATGATACACTGAATATGGTTGAGTACTGCATACAACACCACCTCAAAAAATCCAAACAACCAGTATCCTTTTAAAAAAGAAAAGCCATAACTCTTTAGTATTGTGAAATGATTCAGAAATACCTGAACCTCAGCCCCTGTCCATATCTGCTCTCTACAAAGTTAACCAAAGGGCAGAAGCATGAACAAGTCTTATGGTAAAAACTGCACAACCATACCAATGTTTGTTGCGTCGGTGTTGTTGATGGTTGTTTGGAAGCTTCCCTTCTGAACAGCGTGAACGCTCCTCCTCCTGGGCTCAGGCCTTCTCCTGCCTCCACACTGCCTTCACCAGAACTTGTTCTGCGCCCCTCACCATAGCTGACCTTTGTGGTCAGTGCTGCACCCCCTCTGTCTCCGGCCAAAATGCTGCTGCCACCCACTGCGGATGTCTCACTGTTGGGGCTTCCATCAGCAGTGGTGTCTTTGGTACCTTTCTGTTGTGCTCTGCCGAAAAAGCTCCATGCAGAAGAATCTACTGTTTCTCCTTTAAAGGAGCGTCCACTGTCCTCGCCTGTCCTTGATGGGCTGAGATGTTTATTATCCTGTCCAGACAGAATGAGGTGACCTTCACCATGGCCTTGGATCCACCCACCCTGCCCCATCATCACCCCCTCTCCTGCCTCTGCCTCCAGGCTTCCTCCTCTTCGTGGCCCAGAGCTAGTCACAGCTCCATACATCTCAGCTGACTTGTCTTGTTGTTGGCCTCTCTGGCTCCTGGAGACTCGTGCCCTGACCTGACTGTCTCCCTCCCCCACACTGAGCTTTGTTGTCAGGGATGTGCTGTCTGCAGACGGGCCTTCAACTCTCCATAAGTCAGGCTCAGTCTGCTCTGTGGAGCTGTTCAGCAGCCTGGGAGAGAAAGAATGGCAGAGGTTAAGTGTTTCCATAACTCACAAGTTCATCACCTCTTTGTCCAAGGCACCACAACCACAAGAAGAGACTGCTCAACAACAGAAAAGCAATGCTCCTCTACTTTCTCTTGCCTCAATGCAGTTTTTTTAAAATCTGAAATAAAACTTTAAGCAGCAATAAGCTTAATATTGAAGAAGCTCATATTGCTTTTTGTTTGTTTATATGCACACATTTATATTCTGTCCGATACCCATTTGTGTTAACACTCCAGTCGCTGAGCTTGAATGTTAATTCTTGACCTTAGAGCAGTTTTTACAAGAACTTGACAAAAAAAAATCTATAATTGAAATGGGAGTGAAAGCTTCGTGAACACAGAGTAAATGGACATTGTGGTAACATTTTCTTTTGTCACATTCAGTGGTATGAAACCACACTTGGTTTCTTGGTAGCTACTTGTAATAGCAACATTTTTCCAATAGATACAGTCTGTATTTATGCAAACAGTCAAAGATCATCACATCCTTATACAACTAGGGGAAAGACAAAGCATTCAATACTATGCTGAAGAGTTGCTGTGTGGCTTACTGCACGTCAAATAAACTTAAAAATCCAGAGTCAAAGAATATTTTTCCACCTTGACCCTCTTTACTCATGTTCTTGTGTCTAAATGATGAATAGGAACAACGCATTTTGAAACTGGTCCCATATAGGCAGTAATGTAAACACTCAGGACATGTCAGTACCATCAGTGTATGTCCACTAAAGGTGCTTGTTGTTGCCACTGACAGGCTCAGATTGTTAATATAAGTGTCTGACAGAATTACTGGACTGAATTCAGGACTGGATTGTGGATCCTTTTAGAGACAGACCTTTCCGTTAAAGAGTGAGATCCTTTTTGTTTAACCAGAAACAGCCCTGAAATTGCCAGCATCACACACAACAGACTCCACTTGAATAAACAGTCATTTTATACTTGCAGAACACACTTCATTCAAAGTTGACAAATGCAAAATAAAATTCACAAAAACCATTATAGTTCATCTTTCCTCTCATTTAACAGTCACCAACTCTGGTTTGGTTGAAATAAAGCTTTATTATTTATTTAAATGGAGTGTGGTGGGTTTAACAATAGTAATTATGGAGATGTTCCTAGTCAAACAAAAAGGATCTAAAATGTTATCCATACAGTGTTGGATTGTTTAGCCACTGATAAAAAAAGTTGTAACCCTCCACATAGGTTGAGGTTGTCAATCCCTGTGTGATAACATTATAGCACACTGTCAACATGTAAGGTAATGGTGCTGAATAACATTAGCTGCTGTGCTCGCTCAAAACATGCATGGAATTCACTAAAACATGTCCGTCTATTACATCATATTCATAATGGCTGTAGGGTACTGATATTATGTTAAGTTTAAGTAATCATAGTTAATGCAATAGTGTCTCTTTGTGAGTCTAAAAATCATGCTGCATTAACAGGGGAGGGAAAGGACCTTTTTCTCCTCTCCAACTCCGCTCTCACCACACCCTCTAACTATGACCAGACACCAACTGTATCTAGCCCTGTTTCCACCAAGCAGTTCGGTACGGTTCAGTTCAGTGCACATTTTTTCTGTTTTCACTGTGAAAACTTGTGGTTGGTACCAATGGAACTGTTCCTTACTGTCCCCATTTTTGCTGGGGTACCTAGCACACAGATCTGGTACTAAAAGGTGGAGCTAGAAACACTGCAGTCCGTTGATTGGTCAGTAGCAGACGGTCACTCTTGCTCTGGGCTTCTGGCTGTTTTTGAGGCTTATGTAACCACAGTTTTACTTAAGCTAGTAAACTCTAACTACAAAATGAAAGGATGTTTTGCTGTCTCTCACAGCAGCTGGAGACTGAGAAAAAAATAACTTAATTCACTGGGCCAATGGCTGGCAACTTTTAAGGTGGAATGTAGGGGTGGCCCATATCATCTTGTTCACGATAATACCACCATATCTTTCGATAGCATATGAAAAATTCATATCGTGATATTAGCAATATCTCCACTTGTTGACATGTGACGTCATACTGTTACCTACGGCAACAACAAGCATGGCTGAAAGGTATGTTATTACTGACTCCGCAGTGGCTCCAAAACAGGAGCAGCTTCAGTAGTGTGGAATAAACTGTGGAGTTGTTGTCCTGAATGTTTTATGAACGGCAGACTTCTCACTCTTTTAGTGACTTACTGCAAGTTACACTCCCTGCAAAGGAAACTCATTAAGCAGCTAAGTGTCTCTCCTGTAGGCTACAGCAACACTAAACTCCTGCACTTGCCTGAGAAGGACTAAATGTACAAACCTGCTATTTTTAAATATTCCATGGAGAGAGACTCTCACTGCAGCCTGTTCTATTTTGTTCTGAAAATGTCAGCGTGCAAATCTGTTCTGTGGATGATAATCGAGGTGCAGACTTCCTCTGTGTCACCACATTTAAGAGTACCGTCTGTGGTGTAAATGCTCATCAGATCTCGGGTCTAGGTACCATGTCTGAAGGGTTACTTTTGATTCCAAAGGTTCTATACCAAAAGTGTTTGGTGGAAATGGGGTTTATGTCACTGTGGGCTAAACACAACAGTGACTACTGAACAAACGTTAAATATTGATGAGTATTAATATTAAACATATCACTGGTAACAATTCAAAAATGTGTCTGTAATATATAAACAATAGCTTGGGAATTCTACATCCCTTACCATGTGTCATTTTGCTTCTTCTAATGTCTTATATTATATGTTTTTTAAACTCCACATTCATCACCCTCTTGTGTCTTGTCCCAGTGCTCTATCAGTCCAAATAACAACAACAGATATCAATTAAGGATGAATATAAAAAGTCATGTAGAAAATGTTGAATGACTACAATAACTCCAAAGTTGTCTTAATTAAATGCTGTGTGATCTTAGCTAGCTTGTTAATGCTGAGCTGAGGCCGAGTGCACTGGAGAGCAGCATGCAGTCACTGGAGCTGAGACAACACTGACTGCTGGATGATTGGTAAGCCCCTCCAGATTTGTCAGGCTGTCTGCTTGTGAAACAGCAATGTCTTGATGTAACATGTACAAAAGATGTAACATGTGGGTGAATAGGATTTATACATATTTAAAGGATAGAGCCAGGCTGACTAACAGTAAGTAATGAAATTAGTCATAAATTGCATCCATCACTGGCAGACACTGATGGAGGACTGAAACAGTGATGGCTGCTGCTGAGCTGCTTCCACTGTGCAGTGGGTGGAGACAAGAAGTCAGAGTGACTAGTGAGTAGTTTTGTGATATTCTTGTTTACCATCAGCACATACTGAGGAAAACAAACTAAAAAAAAAACACAACACTCATTATCCATCTGTTGAGGTACCTGTGCAGGTTGAGACTCATATTGTACAGAGCCAACCATGATTCTCGTAGGCGCTTAATGTCTCGTAGAATGTGGACCTGTCCCTCCTCTGAAGTCCTCTCCAAAACCCCCTGACCCTGGACCTCCATCTGCTGCAGCTGGAGCTCCTTTTCTGGAAACTCTCCCAGTGCTCTCTGTGGACAAGGACAACACAACACTTTAATAAACATGGTGTTCCGTAAGAGGAGATCGAGAGCTATAGAGGCTTCACAGTCACACTGGTTTTATCATGCAGCAGTGAACTTTATTTTATCACCGCCATACTGTCACAATTGTGCAAGGTGCAGATAAAAATCAAGGCCGAACGTGAAGATGGATGGAGCGAGGGGGCTGAAGTAGTTCAAGGGGATAAATCACATACTTTTGTTGACATGCTATCAGTAAACTACACATTCATATTTAATACAGGCAAAGCTGTGTGATGTGGACCAGGGAAACAGTCACAGGATGTTGAATTCAGCTTTGCAAGACTCACTCTCTCACTGCTGGATAAGGCAAGTTCCGAATTTTTCTTTCGAATTCCAACACATCATTTCCTGTCTGTGGTAAGGCACACATATTCCTCTGTACAGGCTGTTTAATGTGGGCAAACACACTGAACCAACAGTGTTATTTGCTTGGAATGGATTCATCCTCTCTGTACACCCCTGGTGTCTGTTTTAGGCTGATAAGATGGCTGTTAGTTTATTCCTAAAAAGGAACTTTGAGGACACTTTTCTGCACACTGCTGCATGTATTTCACATCCATTGTGTAGGTTCAAAGAGCAGAGCTCCTGAACAGTACCACAGTCACATTTAACAATGCTGTGAGTTAATGAAATGCAGAGGTGAAGAATATCAACCCATGCTGGTGATGAAATTGGCAGGTAGGTCAGTGTAATAATGAACACTAATTATGAAGAGTCTCTTGGTATTCCCAATAAAGTCCATCTCTTGAGGTTGCCGTCAGCTGCCATCAGTTCTTTTACAGAGCTGGCTGACAGAACAATACATGTCAGTGATATGAAATCAAAAGCAGAGAGAAAGTGATGATATCATCCATGACTAACCCTGGATTCCTGCTCTACAAGTGTGTGTATACATTTCTCAAGGCTCTTCATTATGTGATCATATAATGCACCTCTCTGTCATGATGGAATTACAATTAAACAACGTTTGGATGACTTATAGTCAGGGTCTGAAATTAACACCCACCGAGCCCCGAATGCAGGTAGGTTTTCTATTTGGTTAGGAAATCTCAGGAGGCTATCTGCTATGGCTGGGTGATGTGGAGAAAAAGAAATACCACAATATTTTTTTACCAAATACCTCGATAACAATATTGCATTCATTTGTAGAGTTGTCTATTGGTGCTTTAATAAAATGTTTATAAAATGAGCTATTTGACAAATGATCATAAGTAATGTGGATCAGTGTTAATTTGGTTGACGAAAACTATGACGAAAATTGAGATGATGACAAGCTAAAAGTACATCTTGATAATAAAAACAAAGACAAAATCTATGTTTCATTTTCGTTGATTAGACGGGACGAAAACATTCGTGGTGGACTATCGGACACTGAAAGCCAAGCAAGGCTGTGCTTGCAGTTATCTTCAAATGCCACTTGAGTAACAGGCTGTTAAACTCCAGTAAACTGTGCCAGGATGTTTTGCTAGGCAGCAAAAACACTCACACCGGAGCAGCAGTAGTCATTGTTGCAAGTTGTGACGAGTAATTCAGCAGTAAAGAATCAGCCATGTCTGGCTGACTGTGGATGATGGAGCTGCTGAATAGATTTGTGGAGTTTGTTAGCTGCAGCGGTGGCTGTTAGCAGTAAGCGCCGCTTGTTAGCCGCTGAACTGCAGCGGAGTGAGCAACCACCGGCTGCCGGACTTCACATCTGTTGATCCCTACAGGACTCCACTCAAATCTGGACTGTCTCTGGAAGGTTTATGGTTTAATGCTGTTTGACAGGCAGGTAGGAGGCTCAGTTATCTGTGAGTGGAGCTGTGCTGTAAGTAAACAGTCTGAATTCTGCACAGTTTTCTCTGACAGAGATGAAAGTTTAATTTTAATCAGACTGTGAGATGACATGAGCTTAAACCTCCAGACCAAAATCTTGCTTCATTCTCTGAGTGGATAATGAAGTCACACTCTCTCTGCCTGTGTTGTAATCTGAGTCGTTTGTTGTGGTAGACCAGACAGCTGTGCAAGCATGTAAGTGCATGCGCATCCTGTGCATTCCACTGGCTAGCTAACTGCCAAGGTTTTGTACTGCTCTTATACAGCGATTACCACTGAAAATGACATCCCGACCTATGACGTCATGGCACCCACCCTCAGGTTCCCCCCAGGTTAACACCGTTATCTCTGTCAGCATTATTGTTGTTCTATTCACTCTGTTAGTACCATTAGCTGCAACCTCCATGTTGAGAGCCATGTGCAGACAATCTCTTACTAAGAGATACGCACTCATTATTGTGTAGAGTTCCTTCAAGAAGTGGCAACTGTCCTATTTCCACTGATGTGTTAAAGGTAACAGTTTCTCTGCCAAACTATAATGTTAAACTAAACCCTGGGATCGGGACTGACTAAGGTCCCCGACAATGTGTTGTGATCACAGAGGTGCAAGAAAACACACACACACACACACACACACACACACACACACACACACACACACACCTCAGCTTCTTGCTGGCGGCCCTCTATGCTCCACTCTCCTGAGGGGCCGTGGAAGGACTCTAGCTTCTGCTTCATGATCATTAGCCACTTCTCAATGTTGAGCAGACTGTCGTGGAAGCTCTCGTGGTCTGCGATGCTGTCCTCACTCTCTTGCACCTTCACCTGCAAACAAAAGACAACGATCAGCTTGACAGTCAGTGGCACGGAAAACATCTGAAAGTCCATGCACTGAGCTGCCAAGATCTACAATAGCTGTTATTATGCAAACAGTGACTTAACATTCCGATACTGTAACAGATGCTGCGCTGCCAGTTTTGTGGAGTACTCCATCACTGTTGACAAAAAAATGAAAATTTTCAGTCTCATTATGGTCCAGTGATGGGCAGTTGGTGCCATGTCTTTTCGCATGGAGCCAGAAAATCATGCTGGCAGTATGCTGCAGATTAAATCAGGCTTGGTGAGTTTTCACAGGCAAAGTGGAGAGTTTGTGACCAGAAAGTGCCACATTTGGCTTTGTTTACCACAGTGTCCACAGATAGGCCAGACGGGCTTGTTGAAATTTCCACACAGGCTTCTGTAATCATGCAGCAAAGGGCCACAGGCTGGATTCGAACCCAGGCCACTGCGGCAACAGCCTTGTACATGGGGCACCTGCTCTATCCACTAAGCCGCGGACGCCCCAGAACTTCTCTTTTTAAAACCTGTGTTTGATCACAGTCTGAGAACACACCAAAGCCAAATGCTGTGTACGTTTTGAGCCAAATTTTGAATATTCAGCACATAAAAAGGTGAATCAGTGGACATATCATTAATTACATTTATGCAACTACATTCAGAATGACAACAGAGCCCCAGTAACTCTGTTACAATACAGCATTAGGTTGGTGCTTCCAGCTAAAGATGTCATTTGTGTTTTATCTTTTTTTTTTTTTAAATTAATGAATTTGTGCAGATTTTTTGTTATCACATCTCTGTCTCTTCAATTACAGCCTGGGCAAACTGGTAACAAATAAGCTAGATGATTGCAAAGAAAATAAAAATATATTAAACAAAAAATGCAGCAATTGTATTTCATTGCGCACTTCAAAGTCCTTTTCCAGTGGCATGTGTAAATGTCTGATGATAGTTAAAGTTTATACTGCAAGCTGTCCATATTTATTATAGAGCTGTGAGAAAATGGCTCCTGCTTTCAAGTCTTTGAAGGGGAACATTTTAGAGTCTGCTTCCATGTGTTTAGGGAGCACTACTGTGCATGTGAAAACCAGAATTAACCACCTTGCTATTGTAAAACTCCATCAACCAGTCAAGTTGCAGTAAGTGTCACAAATTCAGTATCTGACCAAATGTCTCTCCTTCTGTTACTGAGACATGATGTTGAATATTGGCCAGGAAAGTGTTTTTGCAGAACATTATGATATCACAGTGAAGCTGACATTTGACCTTTTGGATAGAAAATGTTATTATATCATTGCGACCTATTACACATTTGTATGAAGTTAAGTCATAACTAGCATATGAATTCTTGAGTTAGGGCCAAAAACATGTTTTGTAAGGTCACAGTGACATTCGACCACCAAAATTTTATCACTTCATCCTTCAGTCCGGGTGGATGTTTTTGCCAGATGTAATTATAGAAAACAAGTGTTGCACACTCTGGCTCCATATGCATTTCTTTTATTCTGATGTTTCCACCTTTGGGCCTTCTTCAAGATCAACAATCATACTAATCTGCTATACAGGCCAAACCTTTGTATACAGACCTATTCAGAAAACCCACTGCTAGAAATACTTTACCAAGAGCAGACTCTGATCATCCTTTACCATTAAAAATAGTCTTCCTTTTAGTCAGTTTTGCAGATTAAAACATATTTGCAAGAAAACTCATGACTTTGATAGGAATATGAGGGTAATGAAAAACAATTTTCAACAAAGGGGATACAAGAAATCTGTTCTAAATGACGCTGCTACTAAAATAAAAGATAGATTTGGGTTGGATTTCTTAATATATAAACCTACAGTGAAATCAATGTATTGTTTACAGTATTCTTAAGTGCAGAACAAATAAAGGGAATAATAACAAAACACTGGCACATACTCATATTTGCCTTCTCCCCAGTCAGTACCAGCTTAAGGTATTTTAGTATCTATCTACCACCTCTGCAGTTGCTGCAGTCAATGTAATTATAGCTACTGTTGTAATAGTTTCAAACATTCCCACACAGGTAAAGAGATCCCTATAAAAAGGAATGATCTCATGTTCCACTAAATCTGTTATTTAGTTGATTACTTGCCCTTGTGGTGAGTCATATGTTGGAAAGACCAGTAGAGCATTGAAAACTCACATTGCTGAACAAATAAGTACTATTAGATGTAAAAACATGAATTATCCAGCAGCAGTTGAACTTTGTTTCCTCTCTAAGATATGGTAGGATTGAGAAGGTAACCCTCCCCCCCAAGTGGAGGTACTTTGTATGTATTACTTTTCAGGAGAGAACCCTATTGGAGCCACCCTCTGCAAACCCTGTCACCCCGTGGACTGAACATAGACTATGATTTCAACTGTTTTCTATGATGTACATCTATTTATTGGATATATAGTTTAAGTTGTTCGTGATGTTCATTTAGAGCTGATGTCTTACCTTTTGCTGTTTATTTCTTAGTAATCTGCTTAATACTTCTGTATGTTAACATTTTGCATATGCTGATCTAAAAAAATATATGTTGACATGAAATGTGGTGGAATATGTAGTGGCTGTTGTCATGTGTTTTGATGACATGAGACTGGCTGCAGCTCAGTTTGGTTTAACGGTTTTGATTTGTTGAGGACCTCTACATTGTTTTTTCCTCAACCTAATGGTGTAGCATGATCATCTAATCATTATCAGCTGTGTGACAAAGGTGTGACCCATATAAAAGATCAGTGTACCTGTGTCTCAGTATGATGTTGATCTTGAAGAAGGCCCAGAGGCTGAAACGTCATCATCAAAATAAAAGAAAGGCATCGGGAGCCAGAGTGTGCGACATTCGTTTTCTATAAACATGTCTACTACCAGTGATCAGCACCTCATTATAAAGCTTGGTGTGCATTATTTTTAGATTTTAAAAATTGTGCCAGATGCAACGAAATTCCCTCCAGGTGCTCCATCCGTCGGACGGACAAACTGAAAACATAATCCCTCTGGCCATAGCTGTTGCCGACTCAGAGGCATTAAAAGTAGAATAAACCCTTAAGTGTCTCCAGAGGGAGCTGTGTGAAGTCTGATAAATGTCCTCAAGTGATTTTACATGAGTCAGCGTCTGCTGAAGACTATAAGTTTAAGAGTATATAAATGTGGAAGTGTAGAGTTAGAGAGAGGTGAACTTACAGACATCTGTAGCATGCTGCAGGCTAGAGGCACCAGAATACATTAGCTGCTACTAGCATGACACGCCTGAATCTTAGACAGTCAGAGGTTGAGTTGCATTGTGGGTTACATAGGCACCAGGTTTTGACAACAAAGACAAATGTGTGGAACAAAAAAAGACAAATTTTCTGCATCTCTTGATCCTTTCATAAAATATTGTCTATTGTGACCACATTGTGTCCAAAAAAATTAAAATCAGTGGTTTTAAAGCAGTATTAATTCTTTTTTGTTTGGCCTCATACAGTGACCTGCTGCTGCTGGTAACAACATTTATGAGAGTGCTGAGACTGAGCCAAAACTGTAAAGCTGCAGGCTGTAGCTAAAGCTAAGCTAAAGACAGTATACAGCTTAGGAGAGTTGAAAGGAATTGAGTTGTTATCATTTTTGTGTTGTCACATCACAGTGAGTGACCACTTAGCCCTATTACACACAGTCATTTCATCCATTGTTAAAGGAATACTTCACCCCCCAAATTACCATTAATTTATCAATTACTTGCCCTGTGTTACAATACATTTGTGATGAAACCTTTGTTTTTCTCTCATGCCTCCACAGTGAGTGGAAAATGCAGAAACTGAGAAAATTCTTGATGAATCTAAGTCATAGTCGTAACTGTGTTTAACAACAGCAAGACTACATCAAAACATCTGTTTACAATCTCTCACACAACTCATGCAGTATAATACAAGCCTCATTTATCCAGTCATATGCTCACTACTTTAAAAACAGACATCTGTTTTCATTGTGGAACTAAACCAAAAGCGACCCAGGACCTGCTAGTCTACTGCTGCCTCAATCAGGTAGTTTGTTTGTATCCTTGGATGACTTTTGTGTTTTAAATGGTAGTTTGGTTTAACCAAAGTCACACAGTAACACGCATGAGCTAACTGATTGAGGGAGCAGTAAACCAGCAGCTCACGTGTTCAGTGAGGTAAAATTACTGTTTTTGTCAATGCATTCTGGCTTCGAAAAAGTGTAGATAAGTTTCACTTTCAGTTCAGTTCAGTTAAAGGGGCTGTCTGTCTGAAAGGTACTGAGCATATGACTGGATAAATAAGACTTGGATTGTACTGCACAAGTTGTGTGAGAATTTGTAAACAGTTGTTTGCACATTTTACCATAGCTTTGCTGTTGTTAAACGTGGTCACCTATGACTTCAATTCATCACAATTTTTTCTGTTTTTAGACTCTGTGTTCACTGTGGAGGATGCAAGAGAAACAAAGTTTCCTTCACAAATTCAATGTAACACATGGTGAGTAACTGATACACAAATGATCATTCAGGAGGTGAAGTATTCCTTTAATATAAAAAGATGAACTGGTGCAGCTTTAACAGCGGATGAAAATGATTCAGAACTTTATCCATTTTAAGACACTCTCCTGTCTTACCCTAGCTGCCTTGTACAGATGTTTCCAATCAGCATAGAGCCTCTCAAACTGAGTCCTGTTGCTCTGACTGGATGAGACCAGAGTCTCCAGCGCTGTGATATGGGCTTCACAGTCTTCCAGGTCTTTCTGGATCACCTGAAGACAGACAGGACACAGTGTGACAGTGTGACATGAGAAATAACTCAACAATACACTGTGGATCTGCTGTGAACGCTCACTTCAGGCGATACATTATTAGCATTATTTAAAAAATATCTAATCAATACATACTACGTAGTTCAATATCCAGTATGATATAGCAGCACAATTTTTATAATGAATAAATCACTTTGATAACACTAAAAGCAAACAGTGTTCCCAGTGATTACCGAAACTAAGTTTCAAGGCTCTGAGGTTTGATTCTCATTGTCAGCTAAAATGAACTGAAACCACTGACTGGCTGAAGGTAGCAGAACACATAACAACACTACAGCATGCTTTCACCCATGGCTGTTATGTACAGTCAAACAGTCAAAGCATTATTTATGTTGTTCTTAATGGATCCAACTTTAAACATCATTCCATTAAACACCAGTGTCTTTTTACTGAATAAGATAAAGCAGACAATGCAAAAACAGAGTCACTGTCTGATCTTTGCACTGTGGTTATCTACTCTAACAGAGGAGTTGCATTTGATCACTTGATCCAAATTCATCTGCTTAATCTGCTGGAGGCTATGATATGACAGTGTTCCAGCAGACATGTTGGCAGACTGTGGCTTGGCTCTGGTCTAGTCTGGGATTAAACTCACCCTGAACTGGTCTGACTGGCTTTTCTTAGCCAGGATGTCAGGCTGCAGGCTGTCAGCTGCCACCAGTTGGTCCCGGAGACCGGCCAGCTTGGAGCGAATCAACTCATAGGCGTCACCGAAGTCCTTGGTTCTTGAGATTAAGCCCTGAGAGCGGGAAGAATGAATCATTACCTGTGTCGTTACACAGCTGGTCATATTTGGACTGTATAGTGAAGCCAGAGTGTGTACTCTTTGTTAATAGTAGTATAATGAAACGAGGCCTGCACATGATCTAAGGCCTTCTAAATATACTGCTTTGTAACATCTTTCAAACAGTATTTTCAATGCATATTTTAAATTGAATGTGATAACTTTGATTTACAGGTGTAATTGCGCGCAGGATATAATTACTGAGTGTGTGTTTCATCTCCCTCCAGTGGAAATGACATAGACAAAAGGAATGCGTGAAAAACTAAAGGGGGTGTGGTGTTATTTTTAGACTGTACCTGCAACTGATCTCATGGCCTAAACTCTGTTGCCACGCATTTACGTTCACATGTATCATTCACCTCAGGAGAAATAGTGACTTCACACTGTGTGGTGAGAGGTGGCTGTTTAAAAACTGATTGTTAATCACATTCAGGTTAATATTTCTGATTCGGGAATCAGACTTAGTGATATTTAACACTATATATCATCTAAGATGGTCACTCTGTCTGATCAGACAATCATAGATTTGTAAATTCTTGCTGTGACTTGTCTGAGATATATGACAAATAACACACTGGCAAGTTCTTATAGTAGGCAACAGAAGGCAAAAAACCCAACATCATCATCTTTTTGTAAGGACGTCCCATGGCTGTCCTACACGGGAGTTGACAATCCTGAGAGTAATATGGTTAACTTTGGTCGTTAGTTCAAAACAATGGTCGAAGAGTTAACTTTGAGACACATGCACCTTAGTCCTGTTTAAGGGGGGACTGATTTCATGGATGCCTCACATTTTCACCGTGGCAGCACAGAAGATCTATACAATCAACTACATTAGTGTCAAGTATATCTGACCAAATGTCTCTCCTTCTTGAGTTGAGTAATAGTCAGAAAAGTGTTTCTGCAGTACACTATGATGTCACAGTGCAGCTGACCCTTGACCTTTTGGATATAAACTGCCATTAATTCATCATTTTATCTTATTAGACATTTGTGTTAAATGTTGTCATAGCTTAGGAATTCTTGAGTTATGGCCAAAAACATTTGTGAGGCCAGGGTGACCTTGACCTTTAACCACCAAAATCCAATCAGTGCATTGTTGAGTCCAAGTGACATTTGTGCCAAATTTGAAAAATTTCCCTCAAGGTGTTCATGAGATATTGTGTTCACAAGAATGAGGCAGACAAGGTCACAGTGACCTTGACCTTTGACCACTTACATCTAATCAGTTCATAATGAGTCCAAGTGGATGTTTGTGCCAAACTTGAAGGAATTCCCTGAAGGCATTCTTGAGATATCGCATTTACGACAATGTGACGAATGGATGGCATAGCTGTAAACACTGTGCCTCCGGTCGTGGCTATCACCGGCACACAGGCATAAAAAGTTGTATGAAGCCTTTAGTATCTCCACAGGGAGTTGTGTGAAGTCTGATTAATGTCCTCAAGTGATGTCACTTGAGTCAGCGTCTGTAAGAAGTGAAGACTACAGGTAAAAAAAGTGAAAAGTAAAAAAATCTTTCAGTGTGCAGTTGGAAAGTAGTGATCTAATGGGAGCCTGTAGATTCCAGGATACATTAGCTGCTGCTAGCATAACAAATCTGAATCTCAACAGAACTGCCAGACGTCGAGTTGCATTGTGGGTAATGTAGGAAACAGGAGGATGTTACAGGAGTGCCATGCTAATACTTTTTTTTAACAGTGCAGACCAAAAACAGCCTGCATCAAAAAAGACCGTCTGGCTGAATGTCAGAAATCTGGGTTACAGTTCTCATAACGTGACGATGACTATAAACCAACCAACTGAGATACGGCTTAAAATGTCACATACAAAAATAAAATGGAAAAAAATGCAACGATGTAAGCACCATTAAAAAAAAAAAAAAAAAAAAAAAAAGGCTGAATTTTCAAAATAGGAGGATGATGCAGATTGATGGTAGGAATTGACGACCTGTCTTTACTTGCTTACTCTTTTCAATTGCCATGATGGCACCAAGATTCAAGAGACATTTATTGCACAATCTGATATGCCTCAAAACTGACATTGTGCAGTCTGACACAGATTGCAACAAGGATTTAATTAGATCAGTTACCACAGTTTGACGAGCAATCGACCTGCAGGATCACTGTCACTCAGTGTAGTGGGACCTTCAGTAGCTTCCCGGCTAAAACCCGAACAATGCCAGGCCTTGGCAATCAGTGCCATTCAGCTCTGAGCGACCTGCTGGGGGACTTTAAGCAAGCTAGCTCTTTATATTTGTTAAGATCTCTGTGTTTTAGACAAGGCTTGCCTTCAGTTGTTTTTATCCTGTATCTCCATATTCTTTAATTTAATCATTTATATTTTTACATTAATTTCTAACAGTTTCAGCTCAGTTGATTTGTATACTATCATCCTTTGAACTATTCCTTTGACTGGTTCTATGCCTTTTTGGAAAGTGCAGTTTACCTCCTGTTTCGATAGTGCTACATATGTACATACATGTAGTTATTATAATAATTAATGTTATGTAAAAGTAAGAGTAAATGGGCCAAAATATGGCATGCTTAAGACTTCAGAAGAATCATGCTGTTGGCAGTACAGTGCATATCTACATGGTGTTTTTCATTCTTACAATTATAAAAGTAGATTTTTACCAATTGGTGATGTCACCCATTGGTTGTCCCATTTTGAAACCTTGAGTTTGGTATTTTGGCTGTGTCTAGCTTAGATTTTTGGAGCCAGAAGTGACCATAATTGGATGAGAGTGTGGAGATAACCCTAACACGTGCTGCTAGCTTGGTTAGGATAGTTCATTTACAGCTATGGTCAACTGTGGTAATGCTAATACTAAAGCTATTTTTTTGCTATCTAAAAACAGGCTTAAAGGTCCAGTGTGTAGAATTTAGGGGGATATATTGGCAGAAATTGAATATAATATAATAAATATGCTTTCTTTAGTGTAACCCAGAATAGACAAACCAAACACTGCCTCTGGTTAGGGCCATTTATGTTTTCGTGTTGTCCACCATAGTTACTGCACCCCTCAGTGTAGGAAAAACACAAATTTAGTAACAAGAAACTGCTTTATTCTGTGTTTTTATCAGCTTACATCACCTGGCCCATTTGGTTTAGAGAGGAAGAGACCTCTGCAGATAATGCACTTCATAAAAGTCTGGATCTTAACTTATCAGAGAAAAAAGGTGACCACACATTATGCGCTAGGCTAGCAGCCTGTCTCTGACATGCCACACAGCATAGGAAAAACACTGATTTGTGAGGTGAAATTGCTTTATTCATTGTTTCTACCCCTTTAAATCATCAGATTAGTTTGTTTTGGTGAGGAAGAGACCTCTGAGGAAAATTCAGCTCCCAGTAAAAACTTTCTAAACAATGAACATTGAAGGAATTCTAACTATGAGAAGTTTGAGCTTGTTACAACCTGCAATTTTCACAACTTGATGCCACTAAATCCCCCTAAATTTTACAGTGTCTGGGGCGTCGGTGGTTTAGTGGTAGAGCAGGCACCCCATGTACAAGGCTGTTGCCGCAGCGGCCCGGGTTCGAATCCAGCCTGTGGCCCTTTGCTGCATGTCATTCCCCTTCTCTCTCTCCCCCTTTCACGCTTACCTGTCCTGTTCATTGAAGACAAAATGCCCAAAAAACAATCTTTAAAAAAAAAAAATTTACACATTGGACCTTTAAAACCAATTAAACAAAATGTGCTTTCTGGAAAAATGGATCTGACTCCTTAGAGTTTTTTTTAGTACAACTAAACGCTGAATGAGACTTTTTTTACATGACCAAAACATGACAGTTAATTTTTATAACTGAAAACACACTGAGAAAGCAACGGCTCAGCTACACCTCTGCTCTGGGAATCGGGGGTTATTTTATGGATACACTACCTAACTAACTTTTTCACCGTGGTAGTGACTTCTAAATGGATGGCAACCACCTTTTACTCAAAACTGACATGCCCTAATTATCCATAGCTTTAAGCCTTAATACCATTTGAACGGGTGAGTTATATAAAAATTCACCCGTGTACAGCCGTCATAAACAGGGAAATTAGCTATAGAGACCATAACTGACTTTTTTTTCCCTGTGCTAGGCTGTAAACATGGTTATTTCTGCTGTTAAGTCAGGCAATTTAACATGGGGATCTATGATGATTGATTGGCTCTTGGAGCAAGTAAATCATCATAGACTCTCAGGGGTTACCACTTGGTTACTCAAGTAGGCATCTACTGCATGAAAAAATTAAATGATCTTAAATCCAGCTGCTGTATCATCTTCTTGCCTGTGGGTTTGGACAATTTACATTCAAATGAAAGATGCAGTAAAGCCAAATGTGCAACAGTAGTATGTTAGTACCTGGAGCCTGCTCTTCCTCTGCAGCAGCTGAGTGTGCAGCAGCTCTCTGTTCCGGATGGCAGAGCTCAGCTCGCTCTGCAGGCCGTCAGACCTGTCGGGACCAAACACAGATTCCAGCAGGTCCCCCTTCACTTGCAGTAGACTGAGACGCTCCTGCAGCTGAATGCTGTCCTTCAGCAGACGCTACAGTAAAGGACAGAAATGAGGAACATTTGAAGTTTGTTGTTTTCAAACTTTTATTTAGGCAACCTGTCTTTAAGTGCTCCACACTCCTGACCACTGAGTGTTCAAGTATTAGTGCATTTTCTTTCATTTGAAATCGAATCCACAGTTACTCACACATAATTTTAGGTTCAACTTCAGAAAATCTCTCCGTACATAACTTCACACAGAACTTTATACATAGCGTATGCTGCCACAGTGATGCAACTCTTACACAAGCTTTGGCTGTGAAATGTCTTTTAGACTTGAAATTGGAGAGTTATAAATCTTTCTGATCTTTTTTTTAGAAAGGTGTAAATGTGTAGGCAGCAGAGGGATGGCAGGTATGTTATTTTACTGATCTGCCAACCAATTGCTTTTTCTGTTGTTTTTTTACTTGGTGACGCTTGGACACACTTAACCAGAACCTGACAATGTATTACTGTTTTCTCCCATTGTTTCCCTGTGACGGTATAACAGTAGAGTGAGACAGGTTTGGTGCTTTGGGGAGAAAGCTGAGGCTGAACAGGTTTCTGACTGCTCCTTCTATGTCTCTGATATAATAACAGTGAGAGCACGTTGAGGTGGGCTGAACACTGGGCTGAAAACTAATTAAAATAACTCTGTGAGGGGGAAAATGTGTTTAGTATATTTGAGAGATTGAGTCATTTATAAAATTCCCTGACATTAGCGACATTATCAGACTATTTATCAGACGTCTCAGCTTTCTCTGTCTGGTAGAAAGCTCTTGCAGTTTCATAAAATATGTATCTGAGAGAAAATCAAAGATGGGTGTCAACCACAGGCATTCTGTATTCTGTGTAATTTAGAAAGTGCACAGTGGAGAGATGTTGGATGTGTAATGAGGATCACAGTTTGAAGACTTCAGCCCTTTTTGTGCTATAGATGCTTTCAAACAAACTCTGGTGCCTTTGCTTGTTTGATTCCTTTTATGTGGGCTGCTATGAAAGCTGTCAATGAGTCTCTGCTGAGGTCAATAGACCATGCCCCAGATGTATACACAATGTGTGCACACCTTTTCCCACACATAAACTGGTACTTATAAAAGAAAAATGTGCAGTGAAAATGTGTGCATCTCACCCAGACCACAGACCACCGTACACACAGTATTGGCTAGAGATTGGTACCAAAACCTGGTATTAAATGGGCCCCGGTCCAAATTATTAAAGACTGCAGTATTGATAAGCTCCCACAATAACAGCTCTGCTATCGGTATTTGAGAAATTCAGAAGAAATACTTCTTGTTCATTTAGGTAACAAACATTATCTTCTACAATTTTTATCTCACCAACTCTGTGTCAAATTTGCAATACGATTAAGACATTCATTACTTATGTATTTTTGCTATTCAATCCAGAGGAGAGCTTTCTATGTTGGTGCCTCGCAGCCTGCTGCATGTGCAAGGGGCAGGATGGAGCAGGACGGGGCCAGCTCTGTCACTCTGTCACACACACAGAGCAAATCCCTCCAAAGTATAGTTATACTTCACAAGAATTGGTGCTGACACTGCTTGTTGCCACAGGTTCCATAAATCCTGTGCAAGTAAGGGCAGAAACACAGGCAATCTTTCAAAACATCAAGCAAAGGTGCATCACAAAGAGGCGCTGTTTTCAGCCACCTAGCTTGTAGTTCACCTCCCGTTACCCCATCCACCAGGTATGTGAAAGTCTATAAAAGTAATTTATTCAGGTTGCTGAGGTTTCGAGAATTTTTCCCATTTAAGGGTTTTTCGGGGGGGTTTCCCTTATGTTATGAGGGTCCAAAGGACAGAGAGGTGTCGTATGCTGTAAAGCCCTCTGAGGCAAAATCTGATTTGTGATATTGGGCTTTATAAGGCAAGGGGCAAGGCAGTTGTGTCCGTCTAGCACATTCTGTTCTCTTGTTTTGTCATGTCTAACTACAGGTTGTTTTCTGTTATGTCATGTTTTGTTGTTGCAATTGTTTTTTTGTTTTGACATTTAACTGAAATGTAAAAAGGGTAGGCACAATAAGCTTTAGCTTCAGCCTACAACTTTTCGGCCATTGTAAAATTTATCTATTGATTTTGGAAATGTTTCTTGCTATGCTACTAGACCGAAATAAACTATTATCATCATCGTCATCATCATCATCATACACCAGGGCAATTCAAAGTGCTTTACAGAGCAATAAAATATAAAAGACACACTTTTACAAAAAAAAGAAAGAAAAGTAATAAAAGGTAAAATTAATTACTAAATGATTATTGATGATTATTATATTTTATAAATAAAAATGAAAATTTAAATTAAAATAAATTCTTAACAACACAGTAGGAGAATGTTAATTTATATACTGTGAATTGTGTTCGTATTTTGTTTCATTAAAAACCCCCAAAAGAACCAATCAGAGAACCAGATCAAAAAGCAGTATCGGTAAGAGTAGCAGTATTGTTAAAATCATATGATCCCCATTCCTAGTATTAGTTGAGATAGCTGCAGATAAGATGATGAGGAGGAGACTGAATATAATTTGAGAGACAGGTAACCCTTTTTTTTAGGCTGTTTGTCTATTTCACTCATTGTGTTATTATTTTTGCTGGCTACACAGTGTTCTGTAAAATCTAAATCAAAGACGCATTTATATAAGTAATTTTAAATGATTTAACTTTTTATTTACATTTGAACAATTGTCTATCTCCCTGTTAATGATGTAATGTTAGCCTGATTTGTGAAGTACTTCCTGTTTGAACATGTCATCCTTCTGACAATTAATAATGATGATTACGATTTCATCACCATGCTGGTTTACAGATGAATATAAATTAGTGGTACAGACACTATAAATATCTACAGCTGTGCGTAATGAAAAAAACTGTGCTATGAAAGCAGTGAGAGCAATCCAGAACAGTAAAGTTGCAGATAAACAATAAGCTGAACGTCAATATGATGCTCTGTAAAGCTGAGAGGAGCTGCACATTCAGCTGATAATTCTCTGTAGGTTCATTACACATTACTCACATTACACATTGTCATTGTAAAACTATGAATCATTGCTGCTTTAAGGAAACGTGTGTTTTACCTCTATGTTCTGGACCAACATGGCAATGTGGGAGAAGTCAGTAACCTCAGCAGAGGCCTCTAGAACCTGAGACACCATGTGGCTCCACTGTGCATAGACCAGCAGCGGGTCCTGGAGGATGTTTCTCAGGCCTGACTCTGACTCTGAACACAGCCTCGTTGCTCTGCATTTCACACTGCAACAGGAGCACACAACAAATTTACAGCAGAGAACTTTTACAAAACAATTTAAAACTTACCTACAAGGCTGATTTTGTACATGTAGTATATAAAAAATATGTGCCAAATAATATCTAGCAAAGGAAAACACAAGTAAATCTCACAATGAGTAGCTTATATCAGTATACTTCATAAGTTCACATTTATTAAATAACCCCACAGACTTCATTGGGTTTTCTTTATAATCATCTCACTCAAAGACAAAATAACTACATAATTAGTCTTGGATGATATGGAGAATATGAGATATTGTGATATTTTTGACAAAATACCTTAATATTCATACTGAAACAATAGGGTGGACTATTTGTGCTGTCAAAAAATATTTACACAATGACATTTTTGATAAATAATCATCTGAC